AACCCTCCATCCATCCTTCCATCTATCCATCCCTCCATCCAACCACTCATCCCTCCTTCTCTCCATCCACCTATCCTTCCATCTATCTAACCCTCCATCCATCCTTCCATCTATCCATCCCTCCATCCAACCACTCATCCCTCCTTCTCTCCATCCACCCTTCCACCTATCCATCCCTCCATCCGTCTGTCCTTCTTCTCTCCATCTGTTCTTCCATCCACCCATCCCTCCATCCTACCATTCATCCCACCTTCTCTCCATCCTTCCATCCATTCACCTACCCATCCATCCTTCCATCCATCTATCCCTCCCTCCCTTTATCCACTATTTTCTGAGTGCCAACTCATGTGCCAGGCAGTGCACTTAGGACAGAAAGATGAAAAGCACACGACCCCGCCTCCAGGGAGCCTACAGTGGCTGGACAAGGGCGAGGGAGGGCAGGGTTCTGTAGGGCCCAGAGGAGGCACTGACCTCGGCCAGTCATGGTGGGTTGTGTGCCAAGGACAGTTTCCTGGGCAGAGACACTGGGCCCTGTTCTGAAAGACGAATGGGGGTTCATCTGGTGGGGTGGGGGTGAAAGAACAGCAGATGACACCAGCAGGGCCAGAGGCCAAGGGACAGCACGGAGAGACCAGACTCCATGGAGTGAGGCGTACTGGCGGTTGGGTTTCACAGCCGGAGACAGAGCCCCCGCGGGCTCTAGCGACGGGTGTGACAAGGCCAGAAGGTGCTTCACCAAGAGGGCGGGTGAGGGGATGGCACAAATGGAGCCTGCTGAGGAGGCAGGGTGGCAATCCAGGCAGCAGGGGCTGCGGCCAGGGGCTGTGGGACACGGTGAGGGGGTGCCACCGAGAGAGACAAAGAGGGGCCCTGGGGCCGTGGCCATGGAAGCTCAGCCATCTCTGAGGGCAACATCACAACCACAGAACTCCCACATTCACCCCCATGGCTCGGCCTCCCCAGGGCATGGCCCAGGCCAGCCGGGAGCTTCCTGAGTGCATGGGGGCCTCTCCGTCCCCTGACATCACCCCAGAGCCCTGTGTGCTGTGGCTGGAACCCCTCACTGCAGGGGCACCAGGTTGGCTCAGCGCCCCGGCCACAGGAATCATGGTGAAGGCCTGCACTCGGGCAGGGGCACCAGGTCGGCTCAGCCCCTCAGCCGCAGTCCTCATGGTGAAGGCCTGCACTCGGGCAGGGGTACCAGGTCGGCTCAGCATCCCGGCCGCAGACCTCACGGTGAAGGCCTGCACTCGGGCAGGGGCACCAGGTTGGCTCAGCATCCCGGCCGCAGACCTCACGGTGAAGGCCTGCACTCGGGCAGGGGCACCAGGTTGGCTCAGCCCCCCGGCCGCACTTGGGGGAGCAGACACAGGCATGCCGGGGGCTTGGGGTCAGCTCGCTCGCCCCCCTCCCCTCCTAAAAGCCACAAATTCATCCCCTTCAAGCCTCCCACCCTGGTCCTGACCCACCTGCCACCCCACGGTGGCCAGAAAGATCCTGTAATCCACAAAGGTGACCCTGCCTCCACTGGCTTAACCCCCCTGCTGTCCCAGGGTGACCCCAAAGCTCCTTCACACATCCCAGGGGCCCTCCAACTCTGGCCTGGATCGACGGAGAGGGCATGTGAGACGCCTTCGGGTCCCACGTGTCAGGCTGCGCCTCGCTGGCCAAGTCCCTCTGCCGGGAACACCTGCTCAGCGTAGACTCTACACAGGTGCCTTCTCCAAGGAGCCTCCCCTGCCTGACCTGCCCTCTGCCCGGCAACGCTTCTGTGTCCTGTCCGCAGCCCCGTCCTCAGCCCAGCACCGCCCAGCGTCAGCTCCCTGTGGGTGGGGCTGTGTCTCTTTTTCATCTTCAGCAACCTGCGGCCCCACACAGCACTTGACACCACGCAGGTTTTTGGGAGTATCAGCTGAGTGAGTGAGCAGTGAGTTAATGAATGAGTGCGTGGGTGAGTGAGGTAGTGAGTGACCGAGTATATGGGTGGGTGAGTGAGTGAAAGGGTGACTGAGTGAATGAGTGAAGAGTGAGCGAATGAGTAAGAGTGACTGAGTAAATGGGTGAGTGACTGAGTAAATGGGTGAGTGACTGAGTGAATAAGTATATGGGTGGGTGAGTGACTGAATGTGTGAATGAGTGAGTTAATGAGTGAAGAGCAAATGAGTGAATGAATAAGAGTGACTGAGCAACTGGGTGAGTGAGTGAGTGAGTGAATGGGTGAGTGAATAAGTATATATGGGTGGGTGAGTGAGTGAATGTGTGAATGAGTGAAGAGCGAATGAGTGAATGAGTAAGAGTGACTGAGTAAACGGTTGAGTGAGTGAGTGCCTGGGTGAGTTAATGAGTGAGTAAAAGAATGAGTGAATGAGTGAGACAGTGAATAATGCCTCCACTTCAAAGACGCATCGGCCCCATGACACCACCTCCCGCTCCCTAGAGCAAAGCCCTTTCCTTCATTCTCACTTTCCACAGAGGGGATGCGGAGGCATTAATGCATCTTTAGAAAAAAATCAGGTTTGTTTAAGTAAAGTAGTAATAATAATGAAAAGGAGCGGTCACGAGGAAGTCAGCGCTTAGACTGCAGCGGAGACCCCAGCCCTGCAGTGGCCGGGACGGGTGGGTGCCGCTCACCGCCCAGGCGCTACTCAGGGACCCGACCACTTGCTGCGGGCCTCTCACCAGCAGCAACAAAAACAAGGGGAGCCGGGGTAGGGAAGGGGGGCCCAGCGGTACAGTGCAGGGGCCCAAGCTTCTGCTGGGCTCGAACCTGGGCTCCTATGCTCACTAACCGAGTGACCCCCGAGCCTCACTGTGCCGCGTGAGGATGACATGGGCGACACGTGCAAGCTCTCCACCGGGCAGCCAGCGCCGAGAGCCCAGTGGAAAGGTTTGGGAGAGGCACTGCGTTCGGGCTCAGCAGTTGCCCTGCCCCAAGAAGCACTTCCAGCACGTCTGGGAGCCGCAGCAGCACAAAGGGGCAATGCCCGGAGTGGGGGCCAATGCCCGGGGTGATAGGTGATGCCCAGGGTGGGGGGCCGATGCCCGGGGTGGTGGGTGATGCCCAGGGTGGGGGGCCGATGCCCGGGGTAGGGGTGATGCCCAGGGTGGGGGCCGATGCCCGGGGTGG